TCCCTGCCGAAGGGAAGGGCTGCCTCTTCCCAGCCACCCTATGCAATGCAGCTACAGAGCATCCTGCAGATGTTGGCTTGGGTATGGAGGTGAAATCTCAGGTAACCACCTAGTTCTGGGAGATGGGCCTTGAAGAAGGAACAGCAGAAACTGGCATCTTCATAGCAAAACAATGGGAGTTCACAGGATAAAAGGACAGCCTGAAGTCTGCCTCCATTCAGCTTCAGGTGAGTAAAGCTCAAGACAGATTATGGGAAAATTGGCCAAACCTGAGACCAAAAGCAGGGTTAATGCAGGAAGAATCATGATCTCCCTTTCTGAAATACTCTGGAAACAGTTCTGGCCATCCCATAACCCACTGAATTCGCCACTATCCTTTCATTCTAGCTTATGTTTGCTACAGAGCTGTGGTTTATGTGCTTGGGAAGTTACACAGCCCCTTTGGGGACACCGTTGTATCAGCTATTTCACAGCACTGCCAGAAATAACCAAACCCTTCATGAGCTAAAGGGTTATCGCTGGCATGGAACTGCCTTTGTTCCAATTACGGAACTGCATTTTTCTCCCTTGCTTCCAATTGTGCTTTCATTGCTTATGAGTTGTATGATTAAAACACACCCCGGTACAATGGCAACAGCAGGGAAACCTGATGCTTCAAACTCAAAGAGGAGAACATGGCAAGCTGCTAAAACTATATTGATTTGGACCTGGTGTAAAGCAAACAAGAATTGTGCTGGTGATTTAGAGTGATGCACAAGGTTGTCTTGAGCAATTTGGAAGTGGCAGTGTCTAAAGTAAAGCTTAATGTGCTTACAAGTTTTGCTGTCGTTCTGTTCAGAACAGCTTGAAAGGAATATTCTCATGTAAGCAGATTATTAAAGTCTGAGAATCTAGATTTTAAGAGGCTCTTAGTATTAAATGCTGCAAAACCCTGATATTCTATATAAGGCTCAAATCACCTTTGAGATTCAGATGCCTAACTCCCATAGAAACCGAGTTCGGTATCTCAATACAAGCTTGACTTAAGCTGTACTCTTTAAATGAGCTAATTCTCAGTCAGAGCTTCAGTGATAAGAATCACCCTCTGTTTTTTTCTCTGTGCAAGGATAAGAGAGGCTGGAGAACATCATCTCAGCATCCAGCACCACCAGCATGAAGGCAGGTGGGAGGACGGGGCATAAGGACAGAGGTAAGAAGAACCCTCTCTTGGGCAGGTTGAACCTCCCTCAAGCTGTTGCACATCCTACACATCCAGCCCTCTGCTATCTCAGAGAAGTGCCTGTCAACTGATTAAGCCCAGGAAAGCTGCACAGACGTGCTCAGGGATGCACAGAGGGAGAGCCAGCAGGTCTGGTCCCCAGCTACCACAAACACCCAAAGCCCTATGACCCCTCCTAGCGCTCGTAGAAGCAGCTCTTCACTGGTGGTGGAATGTGCAGCGTGTGGCTTTTGCTATGAACCTTTGCGGCATCCCAAAAGAGCACAGTGTGTTTTCGCACCCTCTGAAAAGTGTGAAAAGCAGGAATGCGTTGCCTTTTGTTTTTTCTTCCCACTTTGGCTTATGTTCCTCAACCACACAGCAACAACACAGCAAAACACACAGGCACTGCTCTGCATGACGAGGAAAACAGACCTTCCTCGTCCAGTTGCCACTGTTTGCAAGGGGTTCTTTCGAGGCACCCTGTCCTAAACCCACAGAGGGATGGTGATCAAACTATTAACCCCCAGAGCAAACCTCAAGGAGGATGAACTCTTGCCATTAGATGGTCCAACCAGCCAGCTGCATTGCACTGGAGTCCCAGATGAATATGTTCCATCAGGGCAGAGGGAGGTCAGGGTGGGGAGGAAATGAAGGATGGGTCAAGGCTCAAACTGGGAAATGAGACCCAGTGAAAGGCTGATAAGAAAGCCCTGGAATACACAGGACAGTAAACACCGATTGAGAGGAACCACAAGAGGAGGAGCACAGGGTGCAGAAGGGACTGTGCATGTCAGACAGCAGGATGCACACTGTCAGCGTTATCTTGCACTTGAGCGCACTGGCAAAGGGCTGTGAAGTTGCTATTCCAGGCTTGATTTAACATGTTACAGGAAAAGGGCTTGGAATAACTATCAAAGTTTGTTGTGACAGAGGGGTCAGGACACAGCTAAACCAGGAGGGCTCCTCTCTAACTTAATTAACGCTCAGGTACAGCATTAAAGATGTGAGAGGTGAACAGACAAACCCTCCAGGAGTACCACCAAAGCCCAGACATGCCCATATGGATGTTCACACCGAGCTCACTGGCACAGCAATGCCCAAGCAGTTTTACCCATCATCTGAGCAGCACCAGACATGGAAACACGTGGAAACACAGCATCCACCCAACCATTGCTCTCCCCTGGTCTCCACCTGATGCTGCAAGGCTTCCAGCAGCTTCCTAATCTATCCCTAGGGTGGGCACCTCCTATTGCTATAGGAACCATAAGATGTCTCCCTCTAGCCCCAGCTGCCACCCCACAGGGACATGGGTGGTCTTAGATCTGCCGATGGATACCCCAGGAACTCAAAGGGGTCTCAGAGTGCACATGGTGCAGCTGAGGCAACTCAATCCTGTCCTGAAGCGAAACGTATCCAGCCACAGCAACCCTGCAGGGTAGGTCAAGTGCAAGGCACGGGTGTTTCCTCCAGTCCAGCCTTGCAGTCAGGAAGCTCCGATGTGCAAAAGCCAATACCCAACGAAGCAAAGGGGGAAACACTGAGATGCAAAGCGTATTCCACAAGCACAAAACCTAGAAAAGCAGGCCCTTCCCTCTGCGACACGTGTGCAACAACGACCACGTCTGAAATCGAAGCCAGATATTCAAAACCCACCGGGCTTCTTGCAGGAAGCGGCACGATGGAGCTCTGTGACCACCAAGTGCACATCAGAATCGCTATAGGCATGCCAGAAACGCTCCCGCACGATGCACATTCTCAGAGCAGCTTGTGATTGTGACAGGGCTCCTCCACAGCGAGCAGCTGCTTGGCTCCCTCTTGGGGAAAACACTGACTTCAAGAAGCTGGTGGTTACCGTTACCTTACATGATCCTGGTTTCCAGGAATACTCCCAGACTCTCTGAAGGAGCCGCCGCGCTTGGAAGTCTGACTATGTGAAGCAGGCAGGTTTGGCTCCACGTGAAGCAGTGCAAGGGCTCTAGAGACCAGTTTAACTGCATGTTCGCTTCTGTTTGAGATGTTCTGCAATTGGGTTCTGGGAGAGGAGCTCCAAAGCCCCTGTGTCCAACCTGCCCTTGAACACTGCCAGGGATGGGGCAGCCACAGCTTCTCTGGGCACCCTGTGCCAGCGCCTCAGCACCCTCACAGGGAAGAGCTTCTGCCTAAGAGCTCATCTCAGTCTCCCCTCGGGCAGGTTAAAGCCATTCCCCCTGGCCTGTCCCTACAGGCCCTTGTCCAAAGCCCTTCTCCAGGTTTCCTGGAGCCCCTTTAGGCACTGGAGCTGCTCTAAGGTCCAGTATGGGTTGACCCAGCCCAGCTCTCTCAGCCTGGCTCCAGAGCAGAGCTGCTCCAGCCCTCAACTTAATCCTCAGTTTAAAGGGCCTGAAATCTTGGTGCTCCCTTCATGCACACACACTCCATCGTCTCCCTGCCTCTCCTCTCCATGCACTGTTGCACCTACGTGACCTGCTGCACTGTGTCACCAACACCACTGTACTGCAGCAGGGACCTCGGTGACGTCTTAGCCTGTTAGGCTTAGGACTGTGGACTGTCCACTAACATTCTCAGCAGAAAGCTGCAGGTATGTATCATCTAAAGCTATGGTTAACCTGCAAGTCACTCCAAACTTATGTTTGTAGGAAGGTCAGGACTCAGCACCTTTCCATTGCTGCCACTTCACCCAGTCGTGGCATCAGCAGGACCTGGACCAGACACCGGTCACGGCCCCAGTGAACTGTCCTAACCAAAGACCTCATCCTACATCCTCCCCTGCAGTGCTCATAGCACTGCTTAAGAAGTTGTAATTAACAATCAGTGTGCCAATATTGAAATAATCTTGTTTTCTTCCAACTTCTCTCTTAGGAATAGGAACTGCAGATTTCCCAGGTATGAGTACAGCTGGAGGACACAGTTTTCCTTAGGCAAAGTGAGTGAATTGTATCAACTGTGTGATCTTAGATGCTTGTGCAATTTTGTTTCAAACTATAGCTTGATGCTCTTCTAGTCCCTTTGGTGTTCTAGGTCAGTACTGCCCGTACAGGCTAATTACCACCTGAGGGTACTGAGCAATTAGGCATAATTAATATCTTAACATTGCACCACTTCCTGATCCTATTGCTATTCCTTCCCTTCTGCAAACTGCTTAATAGCAAAAGATGCTCTGCAAAAATGGGGGTGATTAGAGCAGATTTATGTATTACTCTAAATAAAACATTCCTAAGTTCTATTTCCACATTCTTTAACATCCCCAAAGGACATTTTTTTGCAAGAAAAACCTTCATTTCTATTGACACTTCCTTCCTCCTTATGCTATGAATGCTGTTTGCCTCAGTGGTCCTGACCTCTAGCACAGAGCTACGGCCAAGGAAAAACCCAATAAGGTGGTTTTCCTTGCCAAAACCCCAACAAGTGGTCTTCACTGTCACTCCCCGGGGATGCTCCTGCACGGAGCCAGGTTGGAGACATCCCCATCCCAATGCAGTCCATGGCGGCAATGACCCCATCGCTACCCCTCACACCACAGTGCACCCTCCTGCTGCTCTCCTCTCTCTGGCTCCCTGCTACCAACCCACCCCAATCAAAGCCAGCCACTGCTGCAGGGTTTCCAGAGCAGAGTGGAGAAAGCTCAGTGGAGGGCAGCACACAACCACTTCTCCTCTCCATGCAGCCTGCACATCCATCTGCGCTGCACCACGGGTGGATACCAGCTCTGCAACGGGGTTTTTAAGGGAAGGACCACTGCCCTGGTCACTGCCTGGTTAGCATAAGACAAGCAATACAGGGGAAGGGAGAGGGGATTCACCTCTCCACGACTTCTTGTCCGTTCCAGCAAAGAGTGTCGTTCTGCACAGCAGAGCTGTGGCTGCAGATGTACTCTGGCAAACTGCTGTAGAAACTGCCGTGGGACTTCAGCTTCGTGATGAGCTCCCTGGAAGAAAGGGGGAAAAAAATGGTGTTCAGCTAAAAGGAAAAGAGGAAAAGCCTCTTCTGTGGTGCCTTTTAAGCACTGGGGGTAGTTACACAAACAGAGCGTGAAAGCAGTGGGTGCAAACAAGCCATGAAGCACTGGTCTTATTTCTGATCTCAAGCAGCATTTGGCATTGTCCCCTGATGTCATTCATTCATCCCTGTTTCTTAAGGCAAAACTGGCTGAGATGGGAGGCAGCAGAACCTCAGCCCAACCGTGCAGCACCCCAGAGCCACATACACCCTCTGCGCTCTCACTGCACCTAGGGAAAGGTGCTGCTGGCTCAGCCCATGGAGTGCATGTGAGCAGCAAGTGCCCAGGCTGCCAGCAGTCCTCTCTGCTTTGTAGGAAGCAATGGAGGCCCTTCAGGAAGGGACAGCCTTGTCACTCTGCCCACCTGACATCAGCCCTTCAACATCCCTGCAAGGGCAGGTGGCATTTCTGGTGGCAGAGCAGAGATGCTCAGCACAGATCTGTACAGATGGGTCACGCTGGGTTTCATGCTGCACTGTCAAAGGACCTCCGTCCCCTGCAGGTCCCCTTCAGTGCAGAGATGCTCAGCACAGATCTGTACAGATGGGTCACGCTGGGTTTCATGCTGCACTGTCAAAGGACCTCCGTCCCCTGCAGGTCCCCTTCAATGCAGAGATGCTCAGCACAGACCTGTACAGATGGGTCACACTGGGTTTCATGCTGCACTGTCAAAGGACCTCCGTCCCCTGCAGGTCCCCTTCAGTGCAGAGATGCCAGGACACAGGCTGACCCCAGGGACTCCCACAGCCACCAGGAAGGGGACAGGGGCTACAAGGGTGGGATGTGTCCATCCAACAGCCCAGGTCCGTCCCCTCAGGGGCACTCAGTAGCTGTCACTGGGAAATACTGGCAGATTTAACCAGGTAAATGGCAGAAAAAGATGATCACATGAACAGCAGGGATCAGAGGGAGTAAGACTTGGCCTCACGGCCTCCTGACTTGGGCTCAGCACATTTTCCCCTTTGGCAAGTGCTTGTTTCTTGGCCTCCTTCCTCTCTGGGGATGATGATGAGGGAGCAACACCTCTTGCTGGCATCACTGTCACGGGCATCTCCTGGGTGCCCGCAGCGGTGGGACTCCATGCGCTGCCGGCTGTGGGAAGCTGCTGTCAGACAGAGCAAGCTAGGGCAGGCTGGGACCAAGAGGAGGCACCCAGCTCCCTCCATCCCTCTTTGCCTCTCTTTGCTTGGGAATGCCGTGGGGTTCCCCCTCCATCCAGCCGAGGCCCCCGGCTGCCAGCTGGTGGCAGGCGAAACAAGGAGAAGCAGCGCCGCAAAGGCAGCCGGTGCTGCTCTTTGCCTCTCCGCTAAGAGCAGCCTGCGGGATGAGCCAAAGCACGTCCAGGGGGTGGGAGTTCAGCCCACAACCCCCCTGCGTGGAGCGGAGGGGTGCTTCAGACATTCCCCACCTGCACAAACCACCCCCGCAGCATCTCCTGCGCTGGGCTTACGGCGGTCCAGCCAACACTGCTTTGAAAGCCAAATTGAGGCAAGACCTGGGTCTTCAGTTATGCCAAACCCCGAACAGGACAAGCCTTACACTGCCCATCACACCCAGCTCTTTACATCCTAGGCACTGCCTTGCTCCCTGTCCCACAGACCCCGGCAGTGCTGGGGAGAACTTCCCTGGGAGCAGAGCTCCCCACAGGCAGGGAGGGGAAGGAAAGGGGGAAATTCCTCTGTACCTGCAAGTCTGAGCTCACGGAATTCATTGCAGCAGGTTTCATTGGACTTCCCAGTCTCAAAGGACATCTCTGGCAGAGCCTGGGCTGTGTAACCCTCCAACGTGTTGAGACAACAGAGGAATGCAGGCCCCGGTGCTGTATCTTGTGGGAAGTGCAGCAAGAATGTGGCCCTGTTACTCTTTAAAAAGAAATCCATCCAACTCAGTCTATCCCCAGCTCCAAAACTTGCCAAGCCTGGTTCCCTTCCACAGGGATTTTCCTTGTACTCAACCAGCAGGAAAGGCACCGCACACTTCTGGGTGTGCTTACAGATCCAGGGGGGGAGATGCTTTTCCCTGGCACACCAATGTGAGCTCATTGAACTGCAGCTTCTATTTACAGAGGGCAGGAGTACAGGGTGCAGTGCCAGCAGTGGAGGCACCTGCTTCACTCGGGAAACAATCAGGAAAAGGCTGTTAACATTCCTAAACTACTATATCAGGAAGCAAACTACTGCACAAGGAAGCAAAATGAGTCCTCCTTGCCTACACCCAGTGTTGCACAAACCATTTCAGCCTCGAGTGACCATTTCCACCTATAACAACACCTAAGAGCATCCACTGAAGCACCCCAGAAACCCAGAGGAGGCATTTGCTGGGTGAACCTGGGTGCAGAAATGCAGGAGGCACTTTTACAGGCTAAAACCAAACCAGACACACTGGGTGAGAAACCACACGGGGACACCTCGCTGCACTTCAGAGCCAGCCGCAGAGCAGCGCTGGCGTTCAGAGCCCAAAGCAGCTGCAGGGTTATAGGTAAGGGAAATAAGGAGCTCTTCCATCTGGTTCCCCAGGGCCATGCTGCATGGTGACCGCTCCTGCAGCCCATGCAGGCACCGTGCGCAGCCCCAGCGCTCACCTCCTCCTGCTCGCCAAAGTTTCCTCTTGCTCGATGCGAGTCGCCTTCAGGGCTTTGCTGTCGACGAACAGGTCCCCGGGGTAACGGGCTGCTCGGTACTGCCTCTGCTGAGCGTGGCCGCACAGCCGGCTGAGCTGGAACACACAAGACACAGCAGCATGAGGGAGGGATGGGACCGGGAACACTGCGGGAACACGGCTGAGCTGGGCACTGGTGCCTGCAATGAGCTGCTCTGCTGTCCCACCATCCCCATCTCTCACAAGCACCTGAAGGCAAACTGCTGCCCTAAGGACAGAACACCACTCTTGTACAAATACCATGTGGGAGGGAAGGCAGGTAATTTCAGGCAAGATTTCTGGGCCTCAAAGTGCCTCTGTGGCCATCAAACCCCACAGTACGTTACTACATGTGAGATGATTCCGAACCCAGGTAGGATTAAAATGTAGACTGCTGGGTTGCAGGCATGACCAGCAAACCTCCCTGTGTCAGATTAAACCCATGCTGGCAGGTGAGAGCTCGAGGTATTCCCTGATCCTCCCTGGCTGAAAGCCACAGCATCTCAAGACTCTGTGCTCCACCTCTTCAGCCAGGCTTTTAGGTAACACTGAAGGCAAATCCTTAGACCCCGGTTGCGCATCTTGAGTGGGCTCCCAGGTGCCCGGGGACAAGCATCATACACATCATCACCAATGAAAAACCATCAGGGCCTAAAATACAGCAAACAGCATGGCTACAGCCGAGTCATAGCGCGGGAGGTCTTGATTAACAGGGCTGTGCTAATGACATAAATTAGCTCATTAGCATAGAGATGATGGTGATAGTGAGGCAGTGGTGAGGGAAGCGATCCAAACCACCTCATTACAGCTCTCCCGCATGGCCCTGTCCTGAGACTCAGCCAGCAGCACCATGGTTGCCACTGCAGTCCCTGCTGCACATGGATTTGCAGCAGTTTCCTTCCAATTGTGTTGTGTCGCCCCCCCTGAGGCACTGCTAACACTCAGAGACTCACCTTTAGGACCCCTGTGCTGTTCTGCAGGGCTCAGCGTGCTGGGTTCTGACTGCCAGGACCACAGACACCGCAGCTAACACCAACCCCTCTTTCCTTGAGCCTCATCCCATACCCATGTCCAGGCTCGGGGCAACCACGTACCCATAAAATACCTGTTCCTTGCAGCACCTCATTTATCTTCGCACCACACTGAACCAAGACAGCTAGCTAAACTCCAGGTAGCTGCATACCGGAGGCTAAAAGCACACTTGCTGACCAAAGCTACAAGCATCTGATGTGTAAAGAGCAGAGATTAATTCTGTTCTATCACATCCTGCATTTGAGTGGGCAAATGAATTAGTAATGGCACCTCTTTCATTATCGAGAGCAGCCCAGTTTGTTTGCTCAGGCTGCTGTACACCAAAGAGTAAAACAGAAACCTCCTGGGAGCTGGGCGCTGCCACTTCTGGTCCATGGTGTGGTAGGAAGAGATGCTGCCACCGGTCCTTTCTGCCCCCACAGCTCCCTCTGCCAAAGCAGCTCCTGCAGCTGCCCGGGGAGCAGTTTCTGTAGCATCTTACCTCTTTTTGTCTCCACTGCCCTCCCTTGGCTGTGTTTCCTCTCCACCTTGCCAAACCAAGTCTTGCAGAAGAATGTATCAGCCCTACTGCCTTCCCTGAATCAGGCGGCAGGCTTGAAAACAGAAGAAGGGCATGAGAAAAATGCTACATTTTGGGCTGTTTTCTTTGCCTTTTGGGTTTTCCTATCATCCCTCATTCCCAGGTAGTGCCCTGATGCAGGTAGTCGGGACCAGGAGGAAATTACAGGGCAGCAGGAGATCTGGACAAGGGCATTTGGGATACCCAAGACTCCACTGTTGCAGAATGGGGCTGCACATTCCATGCTCTGTGCTGGCCGGTGCCACCATCCCTGTAGTGGGCAGATCAGCAGGAGACTGTGAGGATGCACAGGGGTCTGTGGACCTTCCCACTCAAAGATGCCCAAGGAGAGATCACACATGAGACCTGCCATGAAGCCACCCTGGGGAGACACAAGGTACACGGAGCTACAGGACGGTGAGCACAGAAGCAGCAGTGCCACAAGAGCGGCATCGCTGCAGCCACGCTCTGCATGGGCACGGAAAGCAGAGGAGAGGTGGGAAAAGGTCAGATAGTTCAAGCTGCCATTTGTGATGACTCCCTTTGGTTCTCCCCAGCTCTGTGAAAAGCCCCCCCTCCTTTTCCCAAAGCCTGCCTTTCAGCCAGTGAAGCCTATTGAACCCCAAGAGAAGAGCCAGTCCAGGATCAAGGATGCTGAGATGCACTGAATGGGGAGGGCCGGAGCAACAGTGGGGACAATGGCATCCCCGAGAGCGTGCTTCCAACAGCAAAGCAGCTGGGCAGACCAGAGCTGCCTTGTCTCCAGAAGGAATCACAGCCCCTCTGCTCCCAGGTCCAGCAAGGAGTGATGCAGCTCAGCCGCATCCTCACAGCCCTGCACAGCCTCTGGGTACCACAGGCTCCTGCAAGGGATGAAACCACAAACAGGCTGGCATGGGTCAGCAGGTGAAATCTGAAGGTGGAAAGTTTGAGCAGAGCATCCAACTTTTCACTTATTTATCTAGTGAAGGACCAAGGAATGTTTTCAGGAACAAAACCCAACCCTGCAGCCCATCTTGCAAAGTCATGGTGAAAGCGATTGTCACATTTTAGTCAAACAACAACCCGGCTGCGATGTGAACTTTAACTAAAGTGAGAACAGGCAGCAGTAACAGATTGCAGCTCATTTGCAGGGCCGGCGTGGCGTGTGCTCTGGGAGGGAAGAGAAGGATTTCACAAACCATCTGCCAAAGTCTGCTGGGCCACAAGTGGTCCAAGGACAGCAGCTCAGAAACCCTGTTTCAGTCTTTCCCCCCTTTCTGAGTCCCTGCTGCAAGACATGAACCCAGTTTCCCAGTCTCCTCCTATTTTAAAGCAAGCTCGAAGTTTAACAAAGTCCACCAAAATGGCCCTGTGGGGCAGACAGGGAAGGATGACACAAGCCTCAGAGCTTGGGAAGGAAAAGGGGTGATGCTGCTGTGGTTTAATCCCAGCTGACAGCTAAGTACCACGCAGCCATTTGCTCCACCTGCCCCTCCATGCGATGGGAGAATTGGAAAGAGATAAAACCCAGGGTTCAGGTAATAATAATGCAATGATTGAAATAAATTAAAATATAATAGCAATGATAATAATAATAATAATAATAACAATAATAATAATAATAATAATAATGAAAAGGGGAATAACAAAAAGAAGAGGAATAAACTCCCCACAAAACAAATGATACACAGTACAATTGCTCAGTACCCACTGACTGATACCCAGCCTGACCTGAGCAGCGATCAGTACCTCGCAGCCAACTTCCCCCAGTTTCTAGACTGAGCATGACATTCCATGGTATGGAATATCCCTTTGGCTAGTCCTGGCTGTGCTTCCTGCCCTTTGTCACCAGCAGAGCATGGGAAAACAAGAAGCCCTTGATCAGGGTAAGTGCTACTGAGCAACAACTACAGCATCAATGTGTTACCAGTGCTTTTCCCAGGCTAAAGCCAAACACAGCACTGCACCAGCTATGAGGGCATTAACTCTATCCCAGCCAAAACCAGGACTGAGTTACTACTAAGCAGCAGTTTACTCAGTAAACTCAGCTACTACTAAACAGTAGAATGTGGTTGCCTCCTGCCACACAAGCATGAACGTGAACTTCAAAGCAAATCCACAGAATGGCACCACTGGCTCCTCTCCTCGGGCTCCGCACGCTATCAGTGGAATCCTAAAGAGTCACGAGTCCTTATCTAAAGTATACTCAGTGCAAGAGTCTCTTATTTCATGTCACACACACAGTCCCAGAACCTGCCTCAGTCTGAAACATCAGGCCACAGAAAGGGGAATACATCAACCAAACGGCAGCGAGGGTTTAGGCAGTGGGGATTGAGGGTTTGCTTGCTTTTAAGAGAATCTGCCAGTCACCGATAACCCCCCGCGAGGGGACACAAGCAAAACCCTCCCAAAGCCCTGAGCTGCAAACACCAATGCTGTAACAGCCGAAGCACCATTTCCCTGCCCCAGCTCATTAACAAACCACTAATTAGCCAATTTCAGCAGCCTCCCCCTTGCAAGTGCGACCCAGGCCACGAGGGGAACGTTTTGCCTCCTGCCAACCGCTCCAGTTCTTTATTCCAGGCGCAGGGAAAGCCCATGCCCACAGGTCAGCAGAGCTCCTCGGGGATCCAGCAGCTCCCTGGCCCACTGGTGGCCAACAATCCTCGTGTCCCTATGCCCGATGGGGAAGCAGCTGGTTCCTGATGCCCTCGGGAGCTGCAGGCCATGGAATGGCTCCGCTTTAGTGGGAACATTGATTTGGGAGGAGCACAGGGATGACACTAATGGAGTAGCACTATCAGCCTGCTTTAATGCTTCCCCATTAATTCAAAGTAAGAGGTGCCAGAGGACTGCATGGAGCTTGTTTGTGACCACATGGAAATGACACACCATGAGCAGCAGGGACCAGATCAGCCACCATGGCTGCTCACAGCCGGCTCAGCTCCAAGGGTAAAGCCCAACAATGGTCCATGTGGGTGCCTGCAAGCCAACAAACTGAGACTACCGGGCTAGGGTTAAACTACAAGGCCAGGTTGGACACAGGGGCTTGGAGCAAGCTGCTCCAGTGGAAGGTGTCCCTGCCCACGCCAGGGGTTGGAGCTGGAGGAGCTTTAAGGTCCCTTCAACCCAAACCAGTCTGGGGTTCTGAATCATATCAGAAGAAGAGTACTGACCGCAGCAGCAGGTTCTGTGCAAAGCACCACAGCCGCAGTGCAGCTGATGGAGGGCAAAACCCCCATAAGCACCCCCAACCCAGCTACAGCAGGATGGGATCATTACCAGCACTGGGGCCACCAGTTGGACCCACTCCACTGCACAGGCACAGGGCAAAAACCCCTCACCTTGCACATTAGCAAGCAAATCCAGTGGGAAAAAGAGTGGAGAGCAGCACACGTGTGATCCCCAGCACCAATCTGAGCATCGCTTTGAAGAGTAAGAGCATTTTAAAGGTAATTTTCCAGAAGATTTACAAAACCAGCTAATCAACTTCCCCTCGGAAGAG